ATGAGGGGGAGGCATATTTATCATAACGGTCATGCATTTTATGCAAGGAAATATAATGCCAATATATATTTACTTCATTTCTGAAGTTGATGAAAAAATATGTATATGCATTCTGAAGTAATTTACCTCTTATCATCAAGTTCTTTTATTTCCTGTCTCGTCATACCTTAGATGGAGTGATAGGTTCTGAAAGAGTCTGGCTTGGGCCTAAGGCCTGTAGAAGAAATTGCCGCTGGAGGTATGCAGGCAGGGCCCAACTCCAGCAAATAATATCACAGGCTCCAATTGCGTTAGCCCAGGCAACGCCGAGAGCCAGGGCTTGAATGTAAAGGAAGAGATTGGCTCACACTACGTGGTCGGGATCTTATGCTCCCGTATCGGAAATTCTCCATCCTTCCTTGCCGCTTTCTTCACTTCCATCCTCTCTCTGTTTCTCTTATTCCATACCTCAACGATTCTACACCTCCTCCGCCGTCTCGTCGCTTCCACATTTCTCCCTCTTTCTCTCCCTTTCTCTCTCTCTCCCCCCCTCTCTCTCTCCCCCTCTCTCTCTCCCCCTCTCTCTCTCTTCCCCTCTCTTCCCCTCTCTCTCTCTCTCACAACTGAAGCGAATGTCACCATTGTAACAATGGCGACAAATGCGACAGACTGCCTCCTCTTGGAGTCAGCTCACTCCATATGGTTCGAAGTAGGAAAGTAGCTTATATGTTCCTTTTGCAAAAGAATCTTAACGCTAGAACTACTAGACCGTTCGAATTGACCGCTGTGTTAAAAGCAGTATAAAACTGTTGTTCTGTAACATTTTATTTGTTCCCCCCCCCCCCCCAGATTTTATTTGGTATGCTCAAAATGTTAAAATGTTCATAATTTCAACATTAGATAGGAAAAATAAAAATTCGAAGGCCCTTAATTGCCAAACAAGCAGAGTAAAGTGCATTAAAAATTGGCGAGCAGGCAAAATGACAGCTCCGGTAGTTCTAGTGTTAAACTTAATCTGTCTATTTCATACAGTCACTATTAATTAAAAGACGCAAAATGATTTCCACCAAGACCATACAAAAATTAATTGCAAAACCTCTGTAATTTGACATGTATTTTAAATGCATTCAGACAGTGTTTTCCCGTGTAATTGCAAAAACACAGCACAATTTGAATTGCTCATTCCCTCGCAAGTTCAAGTCGAACGGCAGCTCCTACCGATATTAGTTTCGCTCCTTACCACCAGATGCCCCACATCAGCTACACGTAGCCTATATAGCCTGAGTATATTAAATGGGTGGTCACGTGCAAGAGCAGCTGAGTATCACGTGAACATCATGCACAAAGGGGATGAGAGGCGAGAAAGAACGGGAGACTCCTTTTTGGCTGAAGGCGTCATCATTGGCTATGCTCAAAATGCACATATAGCTTGCGAATTTGCTTTGAACAGGTGATACGACAGTTATGAGAAAATCTCCTAAGTTTTGAAGAAAAATTCTTCTAAGAGCTTAGTTTATTTATGTAGCCCAATGCACTTTTTGGCTTCTGACCACATCAGGACGGAATTTACTGACAACTAATGATGATTGTTGGTATCTCTCTGTCGTTGTTCCAGACTATCTATAATTGTTTTTTAAAGGATGTTATTGATTTCAAATCATGAGAGACATGTTTAGGTGTGAAAGTGGCTTCAAAGGAGGCGGAAAATGGGTTAAAATGTTCCTTTCGGTTCCTGCAAGGACCTCTTGATACATTTCCCAGAACTGTTGATAAAAAGAAATGTATATGCCTTGTCTGACATTCTTCTCCAGTCGCAAAAATAAAAAATTTATGCCCAGAAAGGAGTCCAACGGCTTAAAATGTGATCATTCAGATCTGGGAAAGCTCCGCACCGTGCAGACCGACCAGCCAATTAGCAGGCGTCTTCGTTTTAAGAGATAATAAGAAAAGTGAAGGCTGTCTCGAGACCTTGTGAGCTGGCGTACGACTCAGGTGAGTCTATGACTCGCTCGTAGACCCAGATCACAAGAGCTCGTGTCTCCATTATGAGCTGTCACATAGAGCAAAATAATACCGTCTGATCGCAGCTTGGGACAGGCAAATGGGGACGAGAGTAGAGAGGGATGAATTAACAAGCGCGTTACAGAGGGATATTATGAGATGAAAACGCTCTGAACACAGCCTCGTCGCTGGGAAGAAAGGAGCGGTGAGACATCCACTCATGCAAATGAGGTGCACTGTAATGAAGACCGAGATTCATCAGAATCGGAAACGACTTCATAGAGATCAGGAAATTGAAGCACTCCTTAAGCCTTCTCCGGTAGAGGGTTTCCAGATCCCATTCAAAACGTGAAGGGTGAAATTAAAGGGACTTTGAACTCTCAATCTCCAACCTGATCCCTGGCACATGCTTTTAATTATATTTTTCAGTGGTTTCCAGCGAACATTGCTGAAATACAGGTTACTTCATGAGATTGACAAAAATATTTAGGACGTATTGGACGTAGAGTTCCAAAACTAAAACACGGCTCCACTGTTGGCTCGAGTTGGCTCGCCTCTATTTGGAGTGACTTAAGGGACTAGCTGAGGTCGATAGTCTAAAATATTTCTCCGTGACGTCGCTATATCCTCCACTGTACAATTCCCGGGAAGAACTATGCTAGCTCGAAAAGACTGCGGGGAGTGGTGAATATATTTTTTTTTAAATAAATGTATTCAGACTGGACAGGCTATTGCACTGTTCTGCACAGAAACGCTGTTCAGAGAACATGAATAGCGATGGATTTTTTCGTAACACCGAACTGAAATCTGTAATTTCCTTCCGCGATGCATCGTCGCAGATGTCAATTTTCACCTGAGGAGATTTTATACACCCAACATTTTGCTCTTGCTTTCTTCTTTCCCCCTTTTTTCTTACTCGAAGATCTTAATTGGTCTTGCTATTTCACTCTGGCGGGTTCTTCTCGCATGAACAATTCGATCCTCGCTCCGAATCCGGGAAGTTTGTTGTCGAGGCACAAGCAAACACGCGAACTCTTATTCTTCCCTTTTTTTGTTCTTTCCTCCCCTTTCGTTTCAACATCTCTCTGACAGGAGGCGTAGAGACGTTACAGCTGGGGTGCTTCTATTGGAATTCTTTTCTTGCCATCAATGATTCAGGGGGTATTGGGATGGAGAAAAAGAAGAGGATTTCCCTGGAACTCTGCCAGAAATCCTTCTTTCTTTCCTTCGCGTTTGACGAGAAAACAGGCCACGGAAAGAGGGATTTCTTGTTTCGCTAGGAAGGTCAAACGAGGCAGAATCCTTGGAAGGGTTATGGAGAGAGAAAAAAGCTCTGAGAGGCTTACTTGCCATTGCACATATGATCGGAGATCCATTCTCTCTCTTTCTCTTTCTTCCGTTCTGCTTCTTCCTTCCTGCCACTTCCTAGTGGTCAAGATTTTTTATTCGCTATTTTTTTAAGCGTAATCTCACTAATTGTGTCTTATTATTTCACATTGACTCAGGTATTCCTAAGTTAATTAATGATGTAAAAACTGCAGTCAGTTAACTTATTCGGAAACAAAAGAAATAATGCTGCAATGAGGCCTCATTCCATAATCGTTGGAGGATCAGGAGGTTCCTCCGGGAACTGCTCTCTCAAGGGCTATCTCGTCATTATGATGCAATGAGACTCCACTGTAGGTCTATTCGTTCGGTTCCATGACGAACACATTTGCAGGTCTTTCATCCTTTTTTTTTTTTTTTTACTCTGAGGCTTGGCTGATCACATCTGGGACAGAAATGAAGCACGTGATAAGTAGATCAATTGTCGAAAGTGCGTTCATGCGAAACATCCTTTACTATTCCCGAAACGCGAAGAACGTTGCTGCGTACATGCAAGAATTAGTGTATTATGAATTACAATAAATACGCCTTGCTAGGTCTAGATTCTCAATTTCAATCATGATTAGGCTTCCAGGCAGGCGTTCTGCACACATCTATGCATTACAGACACTAAAGTCTTTCATTTAATTGGTAAATGCATCTTCTGGGTAGTTCATTCAGGGAAAGAATGGCTACCACTTCAAGGGAATTTGCAGGACCTTTCTCCCCTCCCCTTCCTTGGACGTAACTTCAGGAATACTCCATTCACCATCAGGTCTGGGAAAATCAATCATACTTTAGGCTAAATTTAATATAGTTATCGTTATAGTTATTTCACCCTGAGATTTGATTTGCATTGGCTGAATCAAGTATGTGCATGAATTGGTTTGCAGAAAGTAATTTTATTTGTGACTTGACGATGCGATTTGAAATCGGGGAATACGATCACGCTGAAAACTGCGATGAGAGCATTCTGCTCCGCCAAGGGCATAACATCGTGCAGTCGTGTTTTCAGAAATCTATTTGAATCATGTAGTTCATGAATTAAATCAAGTCATTGATTTGAGATTTTGGTTGCTATTACATTTAAAAAATTGAGGTGGTGATTTGGTGCGCTCTCTGCCTGGCTTCGTCATCTGCGAATAGAAACTTTATTGCCTGGTTTAAGAATCTCGTAGCCCTGCCTCTTGGGTAGACACGTACCCTTTCAGAAGTATTGGCAAGTTCCTTCTCTTGGTTTTCTCCCTCAGGTCGATAGACTTGCAAGCGCTTGCAAGCCTCCGCCAAAAAAGAATTATTATTTCTGAAGAACGCGTAAATGTGCATGATGGAGCTAAGTGAGCTCACACACGATACTGTCTGGGGTGTTTCCTTCACCGTTTTCTCATTCTTGCCACCAGAGGCATTTATCTATCATTGCTGGTGCATTCGATCCGATTGGGCATGAAAATGTGTGAAAGTGAATGGGCTTTACAAAACCAGGGCCCGGTTCTTTCGCCCTTCCCTCGCTCAGCCGAGCTGGGAGCGGAAGCCGAGTTCATACTTGTTCTTTCGCCTATCTGCTGTGAGACTTAGTTGATAGACTATTTTCATCAAGGTTTTGGAGGTCTCCTTCCGTGAGAGACGATGTAGTATTCTTGTCCCTTTGAATATAGGATGCGATCGGGTGTTGAGATCGGGGGAGATGGGGACGGGAGAGGAGAATGGAACCGTGGAAGGACCCTCCTTACTCAATCCTGATTTACATGCTCAGCATTGCATCTACACTTTCGTTGCCGGCATGAACGGTCGCGTTCAGATCACCTTTGAAGCCTTCAACCTCAGAGGACAACCTCCCGAGTAAGTTTATTCCTTTCCACCTCCTTTTTCCGGCTTTTGTTTTTTTGCTGTGTATGTTGTCTTGACAATTCACTGGAACTTCGTAAATTGTTTCTACCTGGTCGGCTGGGTTGTTTCTCTTGGCAGCCATGGATTTTTTACAGTATCAGTAAAAAAATAGTCCTAAAACGTATATGCTTATTTCCTGTAGGTGTACGGGTGAATACATAGACCTTTTCGCGGAGGTGGAGGACAGTTATGGGACGGCATTAGCGAAGGGGAAGGGGAAAGTGAAGGGGAAGGGGGATGGAAGAGATTTGATCCATTCTCCCCTGGGGGGTAGATATTGTGGCGTGATTCCACCTCGAACGAGGATCTCTCTTTATCGCCCATTAGTCCTTGCCTTTTTCACGACGAAAAACGTCACTTCCCCAGACATCTTCCGCGTCCGATACCAATTCATCAACGGATGTAAGTCCGCCTCAATCCCTCAGTATCCATTCATCCTGTTTCCGATTAGAGAAATTTTCATTTTCAAGTTTCCCAGCGGATTGAATGATTTTTTTTTTGCACTTGAATGTGCGACATGAATTAAGTTTTTTTTTTAAATAAATATATTCAGTTATGTTTTCGTAGAGGCTTCTACTAGTGATTTTCTAAGCTTTTGCAAGGCGGTTTTAGGAAACTCTTTGGAATGGAAAAAAAAAGGATGGTGATGGCTGTGTGCAGCTACGTACGAGTTGGGAGGGCGATTGCCGGGTCGTGTGTGCAGTTTCGTACTTCGGGCAAACACACAACGCAGCGGGAAACTTCTCTCACCGACTTATCCCGGGGCTTATCCCAAGGGCCTCAATTGTTCCTACCGCTTCCAAGGAGACAAGGACCAACGCATCCGACTGGAATTTCGCGACTTCGATCTCTTCTACGGCGGACCCCAGTGAGTCTTCCTCCTGTGACCGAATGAGAAAGATGGAGCTCGTTTCATCTCCTTTCAATACATGAATGACTCCGCCCCCTGGGCCCTCAATGCTTTTCATTATTCCCAGTCGAATCTATTCAGATTCTCTGCTTTATTTCCTCCTCCTCCCCTCCAATTTCTTACTGGCACAAAATCTCCTCTACCTTTCTTATGTCATATGGAATCTTTCAACCCGTGTAACAAAAGAGGAATTGGAGTTATTCTCAGAGGCTTCCTAACTTTGTTTTAACGTTGCGACCCGCTTACACTGGAAGGGGGATACTGCCGGATTTCTCCTCCGAACCGGGAGCCTGCGTCCTGCGTCTCATGCCAAACTTCTCAGAAAACAATCAGAACGACGCGAGAGAATTGGGTATTGAAAATAAAGACTCCAAGCTCTAGTCCGTTTCGCACAGGCCCCGGTTTGGGCGAGGGCATTGCAGTCCCCGACGGTTCGATTTCTCTTTTCCTCTGTCATTCCCTATCAAATCCAGCCTTTGCTCCGCAAATTTCGTGTTCGCTTTCTGCTGTGGATGCTCATTTGCTGGAAGAAGAGAAAAGGAACCGGAGATTTGTTAGTCATCGGAACGGAAGGGATGGCGATCACGTTGCAAATGAGCTGAACGCAGATGGTCCATGTAAACTAAAAAAAAAGCACGAATTCGATTAGGAGTGACCCACAGAATGAGGAGTGGAAAGACCGAGAAAGACCACTGAAGAACAACTTGGGACCTGTTTCTCGCCTGCTAAATCCAAATCTAAATCCAAGCATGAGTAAATGCAATTTATACCTTTTGCAACTTGCTTTTAGATGGTTTGCAATTCATTTTCGGCATTTGGCGAGTGAAGAATGTCGTTGGAAATATGTGTGAAAAGTGGTAGTAGTTTCGCCAAATCAGAATCGACTTTCATCCATGAGAACTGGATCTCATTCGGAGACATACTGTTTCGGCAATGAAATGTAATTTTCGGCGTCTCGAAGGGAACATTCTTCCATTGCTGTCCTACGGGAAACTGAATGTGGAATACGGCGAATGGAATCTCATGATTCGAAGCGGAATCTGGAATGCATTGTCACGTGACCCTTTCCGGCTAAAATTCGCTATGGACGTGCAAAAATGAAATTGAAATGATTGAGTATTTGCGGTCCGGAAATGCAAATTTGAGATATTTATGGGGAAATTGTTATTGGACGTTCTTACGAGTGGAATGGGAATTCGGTCAGAAGGGCTGCGGGATAGGCAAAAGTTCCACCCGCATTTCAGTGATAGCGAAAAAAACTTATCCCTAATTTAGAAAGATGTCACTCCGACTTTAACGTTATTACCCATTCCTAGTGCGAGAGCAACTGTTTGCGAGTCGAAATATGTTAGCGATTCCACAGGTGCTTCACTTTTGTAGCTCGATCCGGCTGAAAAGTGGGCCCGAGTGCCGAATATCGTCATTTGTGTCGAAATTCAATTTCCTCGATGAATTTCAATCGCCGACCGTCCGTTTTGTGTTTTCCAAATGACGAAATTTCGGGAGAAACGCTGAAAATCCGATGTAAGGTGACGGGAATATTCGCCCAAGGGCAAAACCTGCCGAGCACCATTCTCTGTGTGCCGAAAGTTCATACTGAACGCCGACATCCAAATTCGCAGCGTTATTCCCCTTCCATTGAGAAACAAAGGGGAAAATGTACCAAAATGCATTACAATCCTCATTAAGGGGGATTGCAGGTTTAAAGCTCCTTGATATCGGAATACATTGCAGACAACGGTTGGCTTATTCTTCACGCAGAGTGTAAGATTTCTGAAGATGTGCAGCGAGTTCGTCAATTCGCCGGTCTCTCATTATTGTGGGAGAGATCCGACTGAAAGCTCCCATCGGTGACTTCCCCGATCGAATGTTGTTGATAAACTCAATTTCCAGCTGGAATTATTTTTGTCGCCGCTCTTCAATTTCTTCGCTTCCACAAACGAACTACGAGGAGGAATACCGAAATGCAGATACAGGATGCCGAAAATGATGATTCCTTTCGGAAAGTTGGCTGAACATCATCTCCTGCGCGCCGAAAATTCGGCTAAAACACGAATTTTTCAATGCATTGCGCCTATATTCACCTTCCATTCTGAAAAACAATGGGAATGCTCCGAAAATGAATAGCAAACCATCTAAAAGCAAGTTGCAAAAGGTGTAAAAGCAGTGTGAAGAGCAATGAAGATCTGTTTCTCAACTGTGTGGCAAGAGGTCGATCTGAATCTAGAAGCAGTAAAAAATGAAAAGTGCGCCTTGCCCAAGCAACAATGAAGACCCGTGTTAAAACTTCCTATAAAACCAGGAAAACATGTAGGGTGGAATTTTGAACAGAGCATTATCCGATAATGCAGCTTTATTTCAGAGAAAATGCCTTATAAATCCGGTAAATAAAGCAGCATTATCGGATAGTTCTCTGTTCAAAAATCCACCCGTAGACTGCTTCGACCCAGTCTTAATGCTCCGAAAAATTATTTGCGGTTTATTCAAAACGCCTAGTGGCTTACGTAAATGCAACATACATATCACACGGTGCGCAGCAGTTCAGTTTATAATTTTCAACTCGTCTACTGCAACGAATTCCAAATATAGTAATGCATTGTGTTTCAACGTCCGCATGCTCATAGAGTGCATTTCCATTTTCCCAGTGACCAAATGAAGACATCTGGCCATCTGGCTGTCATGATGGAAGTGGCTGAACCATATTGAATTCGGGAGGGGGGGTGTGAGCGAAACTAATATTTCTGACTACTCAATTCATTCCTCTGCATACTCCACTAAAAGGGAAAAACAGTCGCATTTCCGAGAAGTGAAGTATTGGTTAGAAATGATAAATCATATAAATTGGCCCTAAAGTTACAGTGTGATTTTCTTCTCTCATCATTGTCCAGAAATATACTCCAAATGCTGATGTAGGAAGAAATCTTCATTGCTTTTCGAGCAGTTGTCCGTTTGACTACGTGCGAGTGTATGATGGGCTGGAGACGTCAGCACCTCTGGTGGGCACATATTGCGGGCAGCGACGGAATTTGGTGATCTATTCCTCGACGGAGAACTTGTTGATCACCCTCACGACGATGGAACGGATGGCAGACGCCCAGAATCGGGGATTCTCTGGCCTCTACGAGTTCTCCGAGGTTATCGCCCGCCTGGGTGAGTCGCATTCACTCCGCTCGTCTTGCCCTGGGGCCGCGGACATCGCGTCATCCTCTGTCTTTTTCTCTCTGCCCAGATTTCATCACGCAGAGCGGGGGGGAGCACATACGAGGGACCCAGTGCGACCAGAAGGTCCTCAGTGGCAAGGAGACGAATGGTTCCGTTGTCTCTCCCAACTGGCCTCTTCCATACATGACTAACATCATTTGCCGGTATAGTTAGCCTCATATAACTTCCACTCGTGTGCAGTGAATGAAAGGAAATGTGCAAGAAACGGAGATTATTTAACGTCTTTACGAATTTGTAAGAGTTTAACTAAGAAGGATTTCCCTGAAGAATTTCCGCTAAAATTTGACGGAGGTAAGTACAGATAAAAAGGAAAAGCGGAGTAGTACGAACCCATTCAGTATTGATACTCAGGAATGTGCCAAACACTTGGAGAGGTTTTCTTTTTCAGTTGAGAGACTTTGTATTTCCCTAACTTTGCAAAAAATTGAAAATTTCCTTTCATATCTTGTAGTGAGTCGATGTTGATTCCAGCTTGATTTCTTTCAAGTGCCCTTAACATCCATTTCCCCCCGCCTTTCCATCGTAGGTATTTCATCTACGGAATGCAGGACAGCCAGAATTTGGAACGAGTTCGGCTAGAATTCAAAGACTTTTGGATGCCGGACACGGATGGAAAGTACGTGAAAAGATGAGGGAAAGAGTTTATGCGAATGCTACTTCTATGCCCTCTGACGAATGAGTACTTGGCAGGTGCTCCGAGACATCGCTGAAGGTGTACATGCGAGGCCAGGAGGAGACTATGGAATACGACAAACCGGATCATGTTTTGTGTGGAGAGAAACGACCTGCTGGGATCGTGTCCGAAGGACCCAGGATGCTTCTCATCTTCTCATCTGGGCAAGGCAAGGGATTCTTCAAAGCTGCTTACCGATTCGAGACTGGTGAGTCCTTCCCTTCCTCTCTCTCTCTCGCTCTCTCTCATCGGATGTCTCACTTATTCAATCACTCTTCCACTACCCATTTCCCTTGGGATGATAGAGTACCAGATCCCAGGGACAGCAGCGCCAGACGGATCCTGTCGCTTCACATACCGGAGCACGAGTGCCATGCAAGGGGATTTTAATTCCCCACGGCATCCCACCAATTACCCCCCCAACCTCCTCTGCACATACCTCTTCTTGGTATGCCGATCATTCCATATTGCAATACTGTACATTCGCTCCTTTTACGTCCCATGTCCACAGAACGCTGTATTCTGTCTGCGTTTCTTGCAGCCTGGGAAGGACGAACAGGTCCGTCTCATCTTCGACATCTTCGTCGTGGATCCTATCATCACGGCTTTCGGGTGAGCTCAAGTGCACGAGAGAGAATCTAAACCGAATCTGAACTCAACATTATCGACAATATGTCATTGGAAAACAGGAAGGAATGCAGGAACGACTGGTTGGAGGTGTGGAACGTGTATCAGGACAACACGACACGGTTGGTGGGTCGCTGGTGTGGGAAAAGGGCACCAGGTCCCATCCAGAGTAACGTTGGTGCTGTGGCCCTTAAGGTCATCCTCAACACGGATGGCGACGGTGTCTCCTCAGGTTTCAAGGCACGATACGTCTTCGAAAAATTGAAACCCCTCTTCAAAGGTACACCCAGGCTCATTCCTACCTCCTTCCAATGAAACACTCTTTCATCAACGACTCGAGCAGTGAAATTAAATTTGTGGTTTTCAAACTCTCATCGATTGCCCGAATGCTAAGGAATATGCATGTATGCAAGTTGATTTGTCCAAATTCCCATGTGTTGTGTTGGATGTGCTGTAGATTGTGGAGGGAATCTGAGTAAGGTGGAGAGTGGGGTAATCACATCACCTGGATGGCCGGGGCAATACAATGCAGTCGCCCAGACATGTACTTGGTACATCCATGCCCGACCAGGACATCGCCTTCTCCTTCACTTTACAACCTTCCATGTTGAAGGCGATCCCCAAAGTGAGTTCTTAGCTCCTAGTCGAGCAAGTTCATTTCCACTCATTTCTTCCAGACCCTGTTTTTAGACCACATCCATTCGCTTCCTCCTTCGTTCCCCTCCTCCCCACGAGCCTTCGATTGCGCTCTTCTTTCCCCAATTTCATGACGGATGAATAAAAATAATCTCTCAGAAGATGAAATAATTCTAATTTCTGACTCCACATTTCATACCGACACAAGGTGGAGGAGCCATCGAACAAAATGTGAACATTTTCTCAAATTCAATAATCAAAATTAATTTATTTATCAGATACTTCTCACTTAAACATGAATTCACGAAGTTCCTGATCCCTTAATATTATGGCTGTACCGACGGCCACATTTGGCAGGTGGGCCGATGGTCGACTTTGATCTCATACCCATCGGCCGGTGAGGGTGCTGGTGCCGATTATGGTCTGTAGATTGCGAAGAAAGTAACATGAAATCGCATATAAATTCAAATCGGCCAATTTGGGAGCCAGGCGAAGCTTATCAGGGGGTATCCTTCTTAAAACGAGAGAGACCACTTTTAGTCCTGTCCAGTCTGTCTGTCTGTCTATACACTGTATATGTCCGTCAGTGGTTAGCTGGAGGTAATACGATTTCTCATTCCTTATCGCTGTTTTCTTACGCCTGTTCCAATGCTCGGGCTGAAATATAATCCGGTCGATAATTCTGTCTGGAAAAGGCCGGCAGAATTGGCTTTCATTGATAGCGCGTTTACACGCTCATGTAATTTTATTTTCGTTTTGCTCCCCCTTTGGACATCGGCATCGGCACTGGGAGCTGGCAACCCTGCTGATACATCGGTACAGCCCTACTTAAAATGCATTCGTTCAGATCCCGTTATTATTTGGCGTTACATATCCCTTGAACAGGGGATGATGGCTCTCTTGATATCATCAACCATTTGCTTCAACGAATGGATTTTGATGGGTTAATTCCACTCTTAATGTTCTTTCTCACTAGCATGAAAGCTTTTCATGCTAGATGGGATCGCATTCTCAGATACTTTCATTCGTCGTCGCCACCTTTGTTGACGTTTCTGAGCATGCCGATAGTTCTTTTTCTTCCGACTCGACGTCACCTCTGTAAGCACAAAAAGGCCCAGGTTGAACGACCGTACACTCAGTTTTGTTGGTAATGCAAAAACGGCCCTCTTGTTTTGCTGTGCTGGATTGGGATCTCCCGATTGATTCTCCGAGTTATGCAGCTATCAGGTTGTAAAGGTGAAATTTAGACATTTCGATTTTTTTCTAGAAAAATCTGGAAAATGTTAGAACTTTCTATGTAGGTGTATAAGTAGAGTGACCAGTGGGCATTGTACTTATCGTGAACCTACAACAGATACATTCGGCAAGACTGAACTCTAGTCGTTGTTGAGTTAATTGTCAATAAATTGTTTTCTGGAAAATGTCTAAATTTCACCTTTACAACCTGATAGAATAGTCAAATGAGTGGTCTCAGACGTTGAGCCTGTTTCGTCTTGCACCTTAGGTCGAGGATGCCCCGGGGCGACGGTGAGGGTATGGGAGAGTCCTTCCGCGGATCCAGCCGAAGATTGTGGTGAAAATTCTACCGGCCTTCAATTCGTCTCCGAAGCGAACACACTTCGCCTCATGTTTGTGTCTCATCGTCCCTGCATTTTTCTCATTCCCCGACCTTGAAAAACCCACGAAAGCATGCACGTGTGTGATCTAGGTTCATAACAGCGGATAAGGCTGTGGGTGCTCAAGGCTTCCAAGCAATCTGGACCGAGATCAAGGACGACCCACATTGTGATGGATTCCATTGCTCAAAGAACGGCTATTGCATCTCGGACAACCTCAGGTGTAACGGGTATGAAAATTGCGGCGTCGGTGACAAAACCGACGAACTCAACTGTAAGTCTCCCTTTCGTCACCCTGCATGGACTCTTCGTTTCCCTCACCCCTTTTCCTCCCCTGCTTCTCGGTGACAGCCTATGCGTCAAAACAAAAGAACAGAAAACCGACAAGTTTTATTGACTGAAAAGAAAATTATGCATTTCTGAAACAAGGTTTTTTTTTCGATGTTTGCTTGAGTTTCTTACGGTGGATGTATGTTATTTTTTTGTCTTTGGATGGGGTTAGGTGCAGTGAGCTCAAGGTCCCCCCTGTTGAATAGCAGCCCCCTCTGCTTCTGCAATACCCACCCCCTCTTCTTCTGCTTACTTACCCTGGCCTTAGTTGCAGCCACCCTTGGCTTACCCATCCCCAGTCCATGACATGACATGACACCAGAAAAAAATGACTAAGCATACTCCCAAAGTCCCCTTTAGGGTAAGTACAGAGTTCTGCTTCTTTTCACCCAGTTTATTCTCACCTGCTTGCTTCTCAGTCGTAGCTTTCAGCAACGGGATTAGCGTGAATGTTTGCATGGTCTCGCCCTTCATAGTTAGTATACAACATTGTTTTTAATTCTACAATATTCTACAACATAATCACCAAAAAAGTTGCAAACATGATTTCATTTGTTCATGTCATTCACCCAGGGCTTGCACCTGTCCTTATATTTTACGTATGGGACAGCTGACGGCCCTAAATTCACCACAAGTATAAAAATATTGCATGGCATGAAAATGTCATGAAAAGTGCATGAGTACTTTATGTCGATATTTCAACTAAACATTTTTGGGAACGATGGGAATTGGTGGCATGCTTGCTAGTAGTCGGTTCATTTGAAAAATAGGTGTAACGACATGCCATAATTTCCAAGCCCAATGCCATCACGAATGGATGGTCTCAGTGATCTACCGTAGGGCGGCTTCATGATACATAGAGAGGAAATGGGCCCTCTCTTGTCCTGTGAGATATCTATAATATATAGGCAATCATAGTGTAGGCTGTCACTGAGATAGAGCATGCGGGCCACGTATAAAACGCCTGCCAGCATCTGCACCTATTGTCTGCCTTTCTGGTCCTCGGTTATTTAGTTTTTTTTTTTTGTCCGAGTTTCAGCAATGGGTTCTTGTAACTTGTTTCATGTTCATTGAGTAGGAAGATGAGAAGGCCTGAGAAGGCGAAGTGTAGTCCTACCGAATAAGGTAGAGGATCGATTGGGATATGTACATTGTACTAGGTGTTGAGAGACGAGAGGTGAACGTGTTATTGTTGGTGGGCGTGGGTGTGGGGATCCTGGGAGTGCTCATGCTGGGAGTATGCATCTGCTGCCATCGGAAGCGGAAGCGAAGACGAGGCCTTGGAAGAGGGCGCCGCCCCGATACGCTGCCGATCGCGGCCTCCGCCGTTTCCCCTCATCGCATGAGGAACATCTGTGATCATCATTCTTCATCGTTGACCGGACTTCGCTATGCTTCCCAAGCCTCCAACATCGACCCCGTTTAAATGTCCGGCTGTGATGGGAGGGACCGCTCTGATACAAACAGCCACATCCACCATCGGATCTGGTGCTAGCTAGGACGGCTTGGCTCCAAACATCCACGTCCACCGGCACAACTCTTTCTCATGATGGAATCCATTTGCAACATTGGTTCACTGGTTGGTCTACGCAGAGAAATATAATCCCTGTTTTCTAGCCTATCCCCCACCTTTTATTGATTTCCATTTCAATCACCGTTCATTAAGATGTACTTGTTACTTTGAAGGGACTGAAGACCTCAGATTCAGCAGTAGTCCTTCTTCGATTCGCGTTCAAACAAGGATAAAAGAATGAGTGACGCAAAATTATAGCGACTGAGCACGGATGAGTATTTTAATCATGCCTCGACAACTCCAATTCCCAAAGTATCTTGAAAAAAAGTGCGGGTGAATGTTGATACAAACCGAGGCTGTCCACATCATTGAAGTAGTCTGGGGAACCAATTTGCTGCTCTGAGTTGTCCATGTCGACCACTACTATTTGGTGCAGTATGCAGAGAAGGTAATTGATAAGGTAGACAAAATTTCCCGGCATCAAGTGGAACCAGCTACTCAAGGCTTCTCTTACGCTTGACGAGCCAGTGATATTTTGGCTAGAAATGGCAAATATGGAAGTTTCCTAAACCATAATAGCTATGATGGAAACGCATCAACCGTTGTGAATACGATTTCAGTCACACACGCTCAATGATGCAACTCACCGATTGACACTGCCTCAGCGTGCTGACCGTGACATGAACACCGCATCGGTGAACAATAAACTGTTCCAGTCTGAGGTTGACAATCATGTGGTGTTCATCCTCGACAGGATGGTTTTCAAGGGGCTTGTGCTGGTAACGTGGCACAGTTACCAGGAACGTCCTAGTCTGTACTTCACTCTGTTTTCTCTTCTGTCTAAAATTTCACATCCACAAGCCTTCCACATCAGTTAAACACATTATGGATAGAGCTCAACATTCTAGCTTTTCTTAAGGTACCTTTTCAACTGAAAACCTTCAACTTCTTCCCATTGTTTCTGGATCAATCTATGCATCACTTAGCAATGTAGACCATACATCAATCAGGTGGGGAATTTGGTGCCTTCAACATGAATTATCTTTAATTCTTCATAGATGAATCACTGGATCTACTACATCATGCTCTCTCTCAACTTCACTAGCCTTCCTTGCAACATGTTTGCATATCCCACAGGATCTTGTATCAACCTCGATGACTTCTTCCCGCACCTCTGGGAGAGACTGCCTTGAAGTGTTTAGATACTCAGCATCTTTCAAGTAAGGTCTATCTCTTGTGGGTTACAAGATCACAATGTGTGACCTTTTCTTCAGCACATCCAAGTGTTTACATAAGTCCAAATGTAACAGGTATGGTGAGTGCCTTCTGCAAGGAACAAGACCAGCATAAGTTTATTGAGAAAACATTTTCTTAACTTCTTTTAACTAACTTTAACTGCAAGACATCTCTCTGCCTGAAAATTTTTGGAATTTTTTATGGACTACATAAAATTTCACCACTTGGAGGAGTGCTGATATTCTCAAGGACCAGGCTCACCAGAGACAGCACAGCTCCAAAAGGATTATGACCATGAGTATCAAATCACATCCACTTATGTCACGGATGCCATTAAAAAATCTTGGATTGTAAAATAAAAAAAGTCAATACAAGAGGTTAATAGCTATATTTAAAAACTGTGCAGTAAAATAAATGAACAGCAGACAAGTCATTGGTAGTTACTCAAAAAGGATTCCTATAATTGAAGTGAAATGGCACCTAAATCACCACTGTAGAGTGTCATCTATGGTGGGTACCTGTACTACTCAAGAAAGCATCTGGATCAACTCATTGGAAACAAAAAAGGGTCAAGTGCTCCATGGTGACATTTCTTGCATAATGCCAAAAGACACTTCAAAGGATTTTAATTTGGAAAAAAAAGCTGAAAAAGTTACTTTAGTCATGACCTCATGCACCTATGTATTGGGCCCATGGATTTCTTCTACTCTATTGATCAATTTTTACCTGACATCAGTGGACATGATTGAACACACCATCATGGAGCTTTTTCAAACTTTTGCAACTTTGTGTATCACCATGAGATCAAAGATTCGCATTGGGTTGTTGCTTTGCTGATTACCTGCTCACAGTTTGGGGGGCTCACAGCAGAGGTAAATTTAAAAAATCTTAATTTACCTTTTCTATTGTTTTTATATCAAGGATTGGTCATTTTTTCTTCCTTCTCTTACCTGATGACTTCTGTTATTACAAGGAGGAAGTGTTTAAATAAAAAACCAAGTAAATCATTCAAATTACATATATTACAGAGTCTTTGGAATAAGACATCCCATTTGCAACATTTTAATTGACAGAAAATAAGCATGGAAATATCACCAACAACTTTCCAATGAGCCACTGTCCTTGAAAGACCTGAAGGGGTGGGTGATGAGCTAAACCATCATCTAGAGTTCAGTGAAAATTATCATGCCACTTGATATCCAACTCATACTCTGCAAGTAAAGTCACAGATTACCATGTCATTTCATATAGCAGTACAAAATCACATGTGAACTCAGTTAATGATATGGACAGATCATCACTGTTTAAAGGTCATGACCAATTCAGCAATACCTTTGCACTTTGTATCAGACAAACACGGTAGACAGAATTAAACATGTCCGAGACTGATATCTTTTCATGCCCCTTCCACTGGGAATTGTGGGACAGGAGGGAGTCATGGTTTCCTGCCAGAGATGAGAGAAGAACCAAGCCAATCTCCAGCCAGGGATTTGCCATACTGTAGATGCAGAATCCCATGCCCACTGCAACATTTGCAATTAGTTTATCATTCAAACTCAATTGGAAAAGTTTGTAGGAGTCTATATGTATGCATGTTCCCAACAAATTTTTGCATGGAGACACAAGAGAAGAGGATTGTTTGGTTGGCCCATGTGTTTCCCAAGTAAATGGGGTGACTGATGAGACAATTTGATGAGAGAATAAGCCAACTCAAGTTGGTCCCATGACATCTTTACTCTATTTTTTGGTGGCACATAACTCAAATATGAGAATCAATAAGCCAACTTGATTCTCAGATCTGAGTTAGGTGTCACCAAAAATAGAGAAAAGATGTCATGGGACCAACTTGAGTGTTCACATAAAATATTTCAAGCTGTTAGGGGGGAAAGCTGGCAAATCAGTCATCCATGGAAGCAACTGCCTCCCTTCCTTTTTGATCACATCAGTGTGTGTGAATGTACTATATGCAACAAGAGCCCCATTCCAATTAACCATTTAGTATAAGAATCAGTTCACTTGAAGGAGATCATAGAGTCTCAACTCTCTCACTAGTACCATCAAGAAGAGGAGGATGACTTGGAAGGAGCCAGTCGAAGAATGAAATCAAGGAGATACATCTGGACCCGAACTTCTGTTGGATTATTGGTCACATGAAAACCTGGAACTCCTGCCTTTGCCATCATCACCTGCTGATCACTCACCTGCAATCCCCAACAGCATTACATATACTCAAATTAGCAATTGAAATGCACCCCATCAGCACCTGCTCTTCCTTTCAAAGGGCTGATGTTTATATATACTGATATTATGACAAATGTATTGCTGTATCCATCATAGACTATTCCATGATAAAAGATTTTAAGCTTCTGTTTTTCCCTGCCCAAAAGTGAACACCCAGCCCTTACACATAATGTTGGAGAGAACAATTATTACAATATCATGCATCCATACCATGATAAGAAATCAAGATGGTTAAAGAATCATAGTGTCTCCAGCATACATGAGAAACTTTTTCAAAATGTCATGGAAAATCTAATCTCTTCTGGCAAGTAAGAATATGGCTCCATGAATCACAGGGAGAGAGTAGTACCCTTTAACTACTCCCCGAACCTGCCATTGTACAGCCATCACTGACTTTCACTAAGCCTATAATTACATTTTATCAACATAATAATACACTTTCCATTGACATGACAATCACAAGTTGGTAGCTTGGCCACAGGCCATCATAAGGTGATAAGCATGGGGCCCTTACAACATGGCAATGGCTACCATGCCTCCAGCTCCCAAGCTCATTCCCCAATTTCTGCCATAGGCTTTATTTCATTCATCCATAGGCTTTCTATAAATTAACATATAATCTCATTTCCACTTGAGATAAAATCAGATTAAGCTCAAATTGGGAGATCCAAGAGATCAAATTCTTCTTTAAAATTTTTCATTAATTTCAAATAGTGTGAGGAAAAAAAAAAACCTGGATAGACACAGACAGACACAAAACTCAAATGTTGCACTAATAATTTATTTATTTATTTATAATTTTTTTTTTCCAACAGGATGGGATGAAAGGTGGTTGATGGCTGGAGATGTAAACATGACAGAGATAAAAGAGACAGAAGTGTTTAATAGAAAAATGTGAACTGGATCACTCCTGACATTGGTCCCATGATATCCACTGACAGAGGAATGAACTGCTTAGGCCCAGTAGTAGGATTAGGCAAAATAAGAAGCATATATGGACATATGTGGATCCTGCAGAAGCCCCCTAAAATCATTTTCATTTTTAAATATAGCAGAATGCTGACACTGAGCAATTGGCAAATTATTTTACCTCCTGTTGCAGAAGGAAGCATGACATGCAAAGCTTAAATTTTTCTTTTTCATGTCCTATATCTAATTTATTGCAAATATCTGAAATTTTTTCCAATATCTATTAAGTGAACTGTTTGCAATGAAATACTTAATCTTTCCTCCAGAAATTCAAATATATGCTTTTGGCAAGATGGGAATTCTCAATCTATTATTATAGGCCTACATAAAACGGTCACAATTTTTTGGATAGGATGATACTAGAATATAACTAGTTCTTCAAGGCTGGCTTCTTCCATGAAGACCTAGGAGCCTTCATCATGGACGAATGGATCAACGTTTCAATTGCAAGTCAGTCTTCACACTTGTGCAATGACTCTTTAACAAAGGGACACCCTTATTCTTGATGGATTTTAGTTTTATTTATCTGTCATCTTATGGGAAAAAAAATGCAAGAATTTTTATTTGCACTGCATATAAAAGCTGGCTTTTATATGCAGTTTTTATATGTAGTATGAATATACTACATATAGTATCTCACAAGCACTAATGCCCAATCTCATTTGACAATGTGTAACTGATGAGTTGCCATGTTGTTAGCTATATCTCCTACCTTTTGGTCCAACTGGAGAATCAGCTTCATGTCAAAACGTGTAATATCATCTTTATTCTGCTTCTCCAGTGCTGCCATCTCTCGCTGATACTCTGCTGTGAGCAGTGGGACTTGATGAGGATACACACTCTCACTCTCTTGCAGCTTTTCCTTGTGCTTCCTGATCAAATTGCTCTTGGCCACTGATGAACACAAGTTCTTTTAAAATATGAACTTTTACAGGGTACCACATAAGTTTAGGGCATATACTTAACCACCATTGCCATACTCCATAGTTAGCCCATCCAAAAGAAACTTGCCAGGACTGGTACTCCCAAGTTTAAATGTCTTCCCTTCTTTCACACTGTTTAACAGTGATTATTTGAGGACTTTTATATAAATAAATAATTAATTAACAATATTATGCCATTATATGTCTCCAAGAGAAAATTAAAAAAAAAGTTCCAAAACAAGTTATAAAATCAAGAACAAAACATTCAGGATGGTTGTCAATGTTCTATACAAGTGGTCAGCAACAAAATTTCACAGGGGGCTGGATGGCAGAATGCTGCATGTTTGTCAGCCTATCAGGAGTCATTAAAATAAAGATTTTAATGAATGTTTAATGTCAAATGTGCAGCCAAAGATCTACTGTAAGACTAATGTGTGATTTTATTGGGCCTTCACAGGCCTGGGGGAGGGCTTCTGCAAGCCAGATCAGGCCCATGGGCTGCCTGTTGCCAACCACTGTTCTATACTATGGTGTCCAACAGAAACAGAATCTCACTGCGGTGTTCATTCTGAAGTTGAAGTCTTTGTTGAAACAGATGCTTTTCAGTGACTTGCTGGATCTCCCGCAGTCCTTGAACTATCTCGAACACAGTGGGATTCAAGAGACATTGCCCCAAACTTGAAAGAAGCTCATATGGAACACGCTGCTGATACCTCCTAACAAACATAGGAAATAACAATTACATGCATAGCCTGTAATTCAGACCATCAAGCACTTGAAGCAAACCAATCAGCAGTCAATCAGGATGATGAAGCAAAACATGATTGATCAGGTGGCACAAAAAGAACATATCCTGTTTGATGCCTTATGAAACTGACAGTGGAAATTCTAGGTTCATGATTTCTTTGTATAATAGTAAACACTACAAAATTTGTTTCCTGAAAGTTTCAAAGTATCAAAGTCATCTGAGTAAATAAAAAAAATTCATTCAAAATGAAATCAGAGAATTTTAATTTTTTCATGAATGCTATAGGTGCAGAACTGCTCAAACTGCTTTGATGCTATGTAGGATACTTTTTTCTTAATTCTGTGTTTGTCATAGTATTCTTGATCATGCAGTGTCTTAAGACCTTAATGGAGAAGGTGAGGCCTGAATGTGATGGTGTGTTACAAGGACTGGAGAGGAAAGAAAATAGTGAAGAGCCTCTCCTCAAATCATGGACCCACATGAAAATTTCAAATATGACAGGGTGTATGGTTCTCGATGGCGATATATCATCATATATTTTCCATTTACCACTGCATATATATTCATATATTATCAATTGTATGGTGTATAATATTTAATATCTACTTTACAATATCAAGAGTTATGGGCTAATGGCATCATGCCCGAAATATGGTGAATATCCACAGGCTTAGGCTGATGGACTTGACTTGACATTGGGTTAAAATTGTAAGGTTCGAGTATCTATTAATCACATAGGTTACTGGAAGTGGGTTCCTTACTGAGAAGTACTCATTATCTACAAAATACAGCCCAACTTAGAAAAAGTATCAGCTATTAATTTATTCCAATACTTTTTTTTTAAGTTTTCAGTAGGTCAGACCAGTTTTTTCACCCCCTTCTTTTGTTCCTTTGCTCAGTGCAGATCTTAAGTGGCAGAGGTGGATATTCTTATGAGACCTCTTGTGTTTCAGTTTATCAGATTGCATGGTAAGCTTACAAGTCAATCTACAGATGTGCCAGTTATCGCTGGGAAAAACCATCATCCTATTCTACGACCATGCTTAAGTAAGGCAACCTAGGCCAACTCACAAGGGTAATTCTCTGCTCATGTTTTGGAGCTGGTCGATGATGGCGTAGAGTCGATCTTGAGATTCTCCTTCCATCGCATAATAATTAGGCCTAGGCCAACGCGCCGCTTGGCTTGGAGGGAGACGAATAAAACATCGGAACCATGCAATGATCCAGCAGTCCAAGCACACGTGGTCGACCACACGGCTTTCATGAGGCTTCCTGCCATGCTGGCGCCCCCTATACAATGTTTGCACTAAGCGCGAGGGAACTTCTTTTTATTTTTTTTTTTACAGTGTTTTCACTTCAGTCAGGTAATTTTTCACTTGACACGGAAACTCGTGCGTGGAACGTCCCTCATGCATGAATATTGATGTCAAGTGAAAACGCTGTAATATTGTATTCAGCTTGATTTCCTACATTTTAGAATTACCTTCCCCCTAACAACCTTTTAAATAGAAAATTCCACTGAGTCAATCCGAATGCAATGCATGTACGAGCAGTAAGCAGAGCGAATTGAAGCGAATTCTCCTGCCCCGATCAGATAATAGATTTTTTGCGACTGATGGAGCAAGAGCTTTGCCGGGCAAAGGAGGGAGAGGATGCTCAGTGGAAACTTTCCAGGCCTTGGAAATGTGTCTACTGCTATAATTGGCGAGGTAGAGCGATTTTTAATCTAAAAAAATGAAAATTGATGAGGCTCATTACTATCATTTGTCGCAACTAGATACAGAGTCGTTACGTAATAATTTGGCCACCAGTTATTAACAATATGTTTGTATGGTGCGGGAAAAGACAAATAAAGACAAGAATAGAGCATGTTTCTTTATTTAAGTACTTGGTCGAGACACGTTTTGGAGCACGAAGAGCATCTACCCTGTTTGGCATCGAATCGATGAGATTTTGTCTCACGGTCTGGTCCAGGTTCCCCCATCCATGAGAGAATTGTCTCTAAGTCTATGCTATAGGTGGTTTTTGAACGGGTTATTCTCAGCTGATGATTCTGATGCTCCCACAGTTGCTCGATCGGATACATATCTGAGGTTTGGGTTACCCAGGAATGTAGTTGAATGCCTTCATTCCCCTTCTAGACTGTGGTCACATGAGAAGTGTGGCATGTAATACCATCCTATTGAAAAAATATGGGAAATAGGGTGAACAGAGAAATATCGCGGGATTTGCCTGTTTTCGCCATGGTGATAGTATACACTGATTACCTGCCCATTTACGAATTACACGTCCTTACACCAGTGGTGGCTCGTGATACTTAGCGCTAATGGCTTGTCTATGGAGAACGGGTAGGCAGTGCCCTCCCCTGCCTACCCCCTATCCATAGACGAACCCCTAGCACTAAATATCACGAGCCGCCACTGCCTAACAGCTAATCACACCTGAAATACGATGGGTTTGGTTAGATACATTCATTGATGGAGATGGCTCATGGCAGGGTTATGTAACTTTGTGGATCATGTCCATGCAAGGCCTATAACCTCTTCAATGTTAAAACGAAGCACAGGTATCAACAGTTTCTCTTGCTCCCATAAATTTTACCGTGTTTATCACTAGTCGAACATTTTTTTCCTACTTGACTCTGACAACCAGTGGCGGCTCGTGATATTTAGCGCTAGTGGTTCGTCTATGGAGAGGGAGTAAGCAGCGCCCTCCCTTGCCTACAAAGACGAACCACCAACACTAAATATCACGAGCCGCCACTGCTGACAATCATGCACGGGAAGTGCCCCATGCATGATTGTTGAGTCGAGCGAACAAACGCTCAACTCGAGCGAAAAACATTGAGACCTTTTCAAGCAGTGGACCAGCTCAAACTGTGTCAATTTCTCCTATATCATGATCCCATCTTCTGACTCGGGTATCAATTTATCAGGAGTCAGGAATCAGGAGTCAGGAGAGTTAGTGATATCAAGAGGCGATTTCGCCCATTTTGATATCACGTGTCGAGGTCGAGCGTTCCTTAATTTTAGGGTAGGCCTAACCCTCTTAAAGCTAATTTTTTTTTTTTTACTATCCTAGTTGCTTACTGTCTAGTACCTACGTCAACATTGCCCCCAACCTTTTTGCCTGTCCATGAAAGCATCTAGTTTCTTCTTAAAGATAGTCACAGAAGGGGCAGCCACTACTTCGTCATCTAACGCATTCCACGCGTTCACCACTCTGCAAGTAAAGAATTCCTGTCTCGACCTGAGCCGCACCTGCGGTTTGCGCAACTTAAGTCGGTTACCTCTCGTTCTCTTGCTGTCATCAAACTGGAAAAACCTACCACACTCGACATTATCTATTCCTTTAATTATCTTGAAAGCCTGGATGAGATCGCCCCTCCTTAACCTTCGTTCGAGCGAGTACAGTCTCAGCACTTCTAAACGCTTCTCGTATGATAGTCCCCTAACCTCCTTAATCATTCTTGTGGCCCTCCTCTGTACTCCCTCGAGCGCCAACAGATCGCCCTTATTTGTAGGCCTCCAAAACTGGATGCAATATTCCAGCTGGGGTCTTATCAGCGCCGCATACAACGGAAGAATAACGCGAGATGTCCTACTTGCAACCGACCGACGAATGTAACCTAGAATCCTATTGCATTTGGCCACCGTCGCTTGCGCGTGCGAGGAAAATTTGAGGTCCTCGTCGATAGAAACACCTAAATCTCTCTCTCCGTTTGCCTCATCCAATTTAACATCGCCGAACGTGTCGAGAGACCTACCGTTGTTTCGACCGACGTGGAGAACTTTACACTTACTTTTATTAAACCTCATGAGCCATTTCTTGCTCCACTCGTCCAAAAGCCTTAAATCTCGCTCGGCTCTAGCCCTATCCGCCTCCCCCCTTATGGTAAAACCTATCTTGGTGTCGTCGGCAAATTTACTTATCTTACCCTCTACGCCGAGATCCAAATCGTTTATGTAGACCAAAAACAGAAGCGGTCCAAGGACCGAGCCTTGAGGGACACCGCTTGCGACTCCGACCTCCTCCGACGCTTCCCCATTTATCATCACCCGTTGCTCTCGTCCTGCCAACCAACTACTGATCCACTCACTCGTCCTACCCTGGATCCCGTGCGCCTCCAGTTTAACCCGCAACCTCTTGTGAGGAACGGTATCGAAAGCTTTCGCGAAATCTAAATAGACGATGTCCACGGGATTCCCTTTATCCCTCTCTTCCGTCGCCCAGTCGTAGAATTCGAGCAAATTGGTGAGACAATTTCGACGCCTCCTAAAGCCGTGTTGAGAGTCCCGAATGAGCGCGTTTCCTTCGAGGAAATCCAAGAGATGGTCCCTTAGTATGCTCTCCATGATCTTCCCTGGGATACTCGTGAGACTTACCGGCCTGTAATTTCCTGGATTACTCTTTTCGCCCTTCTTAAAGATCGGTACGACGTTTGCTCGTCTCCAGTCCTTAGGTACTTCCCCGCGCGAAAAGCTGCTATCGAATATAATTCTTAGCGGAACCGATATTTCTCTCGCGGTTTCCTTAATGACTCTCGCAGGAATCCCATCGGGGCCGGTCGCCTTGCCCACCTTTAACTTCCCTATCATATTCACGATCGTCTCCTCGGTGATGGAAATATCCTCGATGCGAGCCGAGGTCACCTCCTCCAAAGTCGGTGCCGAGTCGGATTCCACAGTGAAAACGGATGCGAAGAACTCGTTAAGTATACTGGCCATATCCTTATCACTTGCAATCAACTCCCTCTTTTCTACTTTATTAATTTAATTATTATTCATTATTATTATTAATTATTATTAATTATTATTAATTACTATTAATTACTATTAATTATTATTAATTATTATTTATTATTAATTTATACTCTTGTGAACCGTGAAGCAAGGCACTTTGCCACTCTGCAACGCTTTCCCGCGCGCGTTTCTACCCGTCATCGCTGCCAAGAAAGCCACATTCCCTTTCACCCACAAGTATAGCATAGTTATTCTAAAATAGCATTTTTTTTCCCTGCTTAATTCCGAATCAATTATTAAAAGTTTTGATGGAAGGCCCAACAATTAACAACAGTTCTTTAAAATAAGGAACGGAAGAATCTACGGTAATCTCTAGCGTGAGAGTAATACTTCAGGAATATGACAGGTGCCACGAAGGGGCGCATGTGTCATGTCAACTGCGTGCAATTATTTCAACATCGATGCAGAAGAGAAAGGAAGAACTCGGCAGTCCCATAAGAAACAAATGGGACTGGGCTTTTGCGACCCTTTGCTTACCTCCCATCCGTGACCCTTGCCCTCCCTTCATCTCATCCGAAGGGATGAGATGAAGGGAGGGAAGATGATCATAATACCTGATTATTGCATACATGACAGCGATTGCCTTCAGTGTTGAGTTGAATCGAGCGTAGGTCCCGATGATCGTGAAAATGACGCGAGTTGGAAGACTGGGAATGACTTCATGGATATGCGAGGCACATATTTTCGATAACGTATTCATACTTAGCCAACTATAGGGAGTCCCAGGGACTTAATTGAGCCTGATGGTGATACTTGCCGCCCAAGGCCGATTCCATCTGAAGTCCGCTTTCTGATGCCGGTGATCAGTGGCATAACGTCGGGGATGGGGGGAGGGGGCGGCAGAGGTGACACGTGCCCCATACTTGTAAGAAAAAAAAAAGAAGCGAAAGTAATAGGGAAAAGAGAACAGTGTTCCAGGGTTCTTGTGCTCCCCTCCCCCTTTCCCATTCACGTTACGCTTATGCTAGGTAGTATCCATGTTGGATACGATCTGATTAAATTGACCTTTATACTTATTTTTCTTAGAAATAACATAAAATTTTCGAATTAAAAAAAAGCGCTCCGACACCGAGCACTTCCAGTACATTTTTGAGCCCTGGAAAGGGTCTGAGTCCGACTTTCCCGCTTTCACAATCAGAAAGGTTACGGAAATCCCAATTCAGATTCGGACTTCATTTCTGAATTATAATGAGATCTGACTTCTTGAGTCATTTCGGATTCTTAATCCTTAAAAAACTTTCATAGACAGGAAAGATGATTCATCGAGTTCCTGAAGCGCACGCGCAATTTCGTTAGTTTCCGGCTCATGACTTAGCTTGGCGTGAGAACGGAAACCCTGAGACAGCAGTCTGGATGAAAACATGGCGATCATTTCCTTCGTCTTCTCACTGCGGAGTCATGCTTTCTGCTCCTAACCGATTGCCCCCAAAATCACCATTTGCGCTATATCCTCAGTGGCGTATAGGTATAG